TTGGGGTGGTTGCCATTGCGGGACTGCATGTTGGTCTCTCTCTGCGGGAAAAGTAGAATTGGACGCCGTGCGTTGGTCTGAAAAATCTTTGTTTGAAGCATTGGTGATGTGTGCAGCCACTGAGCCAAAAGCGGGCACCTGGGGGGCGGCTGGAGGTGGTGAGTTCCGGATGATAGGTGGGTTCTTCATAGCATCGGGTCGGATAGCATCAGGGCGAACAACATCCGGTCGAGAATGAGGGCGAGGAGCACCAGAGCGAGCAGCATCCGGTCGAACATCATCCGGTCGAGGAGCGTCTGATCGAGGAGCGTCTGGTCGAGGAGCATCCGGTCGAACATTAATTGGGCGAACGAAATCCGGTCGAGGAGCGTCTGGTCGAGAAGCATCTGGTCGAGAAGTATCTGGTCGAGGAGCATCCGGTCGAACATTAACTGGGCGAACAGCGTCTGGTCGAGCAGCGTCTGGTCGAGAAGCATCCGGTCGAATATCAACTGGGCGAACAGCGTCTGCTCGAGCAGCGTCTGGTCGAGGAGCATCCGGTCGAACATTAACTGGGCGAACGACATCCGGTCGAGGAGCATCAGGGCGATCAGCATCCGGTCGAACATTAACTGGGCGAACGACATCCGGTCGAGGAGCGTCTGGTCGAGGAGCGTCTGGTCGAGAAGCATCTGGTCGAGGAGCATCCGGTCGAACATTAACTGGGCTAACAGCAACTGGTCGAGGAGCGTCTGGTCGAGGAGCATCCGGTCGAACATTAACTGGGCGAACGACATCCGGTCGAGGAGCGTCTGGTCGAGAAGCATCTGGTCGAGGAGCATCCGGTCGAACATTAACTGGGCGAACAGCGTCTGCTCGAGCAGCGTCTGGTCGAGGAGCATCCGGTTGAACATTAACTGGGCGAACAACATCCGGTCGAGGAGCATCAGGGCGACCAGTATCCAGTCTAATGGCATCAGGTCGAGCACCAGTAGCTCGAGGGTCATTTCGCTCGGGATCTCGCGTAGGCTCCAGAGTCGGAATGATGGGGATGCCTGAAGGTTTCCGACCATGATCCACTTGGGGATGATCAGGCAGACGATCTGCTAGGGTTGGTCCAGGTCCAGGGCCGGGTGCTGTAGTAGGATGTGAGGAAGTGGTTGAGCCGCTCGCTGCGCGGCTAGCTGCACGACTTGGGGGGCGGTCTCGTTTCCAGAAGTCCACGGGGCGATCACGGTCCTCGCGATCAGGTCGTCGGTTGTCCCAATCTTCGCGACGGTCAAAGCGATCTCGACGATCCAAGTCGCGATCTAATTCTCGATCTCGATCTCTTGGGCGTGGAAGGTCTCGGTCACGATCTCGGTCCATCATCCGATCGCGATCTAATGCACGATCCCGGTCCATGTCTCGATCTCTATCGCGATCCACCATCCGATCACGTCCACGCCACTGTTCACGGGATCGACTGCGGCGACGGAAAAGATCACGATCATCGAGGAAGGATGGACGACCACGACCGCGGCCTCCTTCCCAATCTCCGCGACCACGGCCTCGTATGCCTCCTCGGTGTATATGGCCACCATTAGGAGGGGGACCTTCTGGGCCTCCTGAAGATGCAGATATGATACTATCCCTCGAGTTGCGTCGCATCCGAGCCAGATCAAAATCGCGCCCGGGGGGCTCCCTTATGTCCCGAAAGTCGCGTGTTGGTGATCTTGAGCGGCCTCGGCCAAAACCAATCCGGTTGTCACGGGGATCGAATTCACGGTCGCGGCGAACCCAGTCCCGGTCCATATCTCGGCGAAACGGTGGGCCATCGCGGTTATCTCGAAAGTCGCGATCTCGGTCGCGGTCTCGTGGGTCACGGTCACGAAAGTCACCACGGCCATAGCCCCTACCACGGCCACCAAAATGGCCACCACGAGGGGAATCAACAAGTGCCCTTGGTCCACGCGGTGGATCTCTGCCAAATGGTGCAGGTCCATCGTCGGGACCACGAGGACCGACCGGGGGGCGACGGTCTCCAAATCGCTGCGGAGAACGGTCACGGGAATTGAACCCGGACGATGGGGGGAATCGGGATGACATTATCGCGTCATGCTATCATGAAGCTACAGACTGGGTTAGCGCTCCAGCACGTTCAATGTACAGTGCAAATCAGCCCAAGGCGGTTGGAATGCAGAATCCATCAAACATACCCAGAGATGGAGAACACTCGGGAGGGTCTGCACGTGACATACAATGCACGGACCATATGAAGAATTAAAGGGTCCCCGATCGGGTAAGGCGTAATTCTTTTTTCAAGTCCAATTTATCACGTTGTTTTTGTTTTGTTCTCTTGAGTACGGAGTAGATTCAGGTCGAATGGACCCAAGTTGGCTGGTTTGACAGGTTGACAGGTTCGACACGGGATTGAACGTGGAAAAACAGGAAACACTGGGCACGTTAGAAGATCGACAAAATCATGCGAGCTCTCCCTTGCGCCGGATGTTATGCACAGTAATATAGCAAGAAGGAAACCGAGGAGGAATAAGAAGAAGATGAGGTTCGTGAGACTTCAAGGGGTTCGGCACTAACCCGATTTAACGCTAGTGTGGTGGATGTGCCTCCTAACTCTATTCAGGTACGGTATAATTAGGAAGTATACAATGTAGAACTAGACATAGAAATAGTAGAAAGTAGAGTAGAATACTATTAAAAGGTCAATATTCTAGATGCTTTCATCATTCAAACCTATACAATATAGGAAATCTCCAAATTGAATAACGACACTAGTCAACATAGAGTAATATACGCCTGAGGCAAAAAGGTATCAGAATACTAAGGCACTCAGGCACTCAGGCATCAAGGCCCAGACTCATGTAGTTCCCCGCCGAATCAAAAAAAAAAGATCGACTGCCCCTCTCTTCTACAATCCAAGCTTCTTTTCATTTGGACCTCTTTTCTTGTCTCACCTTGACCTATTTTGAGTGGACTTGTGATTTACACCTACTCCCCTTTTCCTTTCCTTTCTTTCCCAATCTCATCGCAATCATGAGCGCTCAGAAACATTCCGCAGTCCCTTCCTCGGTAACCGATTCCGTCCTCCAGGGCTCGCAACCAGTCCCAGAGGGATCTCACGAGGTGAGCGGGGTGGATTTTGATAAGTTTCAGGGACGAGATATCACCGTCGCAGAGATGGTGGACAACATGGCCCATACCGGTTTCCAGGGCAGTGCGGTTGCCGAGGCTGCTCAAATCATCAATGAAATGGTACGCCCGATATAATTACAATTGCTCAATTCTGTAATCCTTGGAGTCTGATGGTCTGTTTCATTAGCGCGCCTTCCGTGATCCCGAAACGGGAAATAAAACAACCATCTTCCTCGGCTATACATCAAACTTGATTTCCTCCGGTCTTCGTGACACCCTACGTTATTTGGTCAAGCATAATCATGTGTCTGCCATTGTGACGACTGCCGGTGGTGTCGAGGAGGACTTGATCAAATGCTTGGCCCCGACATATCTCGGATCGTTCTCGACTCCCGGTGCTGGACTTCGTGCAAAGGGCCTCAACCGCATTGGCAACCTTCTCGTACCCAACAATAATTACTGTGCCTTTGAGGACTGGGTGGTTCCCATTTTGGATAAGATGTTGGAGGAGCAGGAGGCTGGCAAGGTTAAGGCTCGGGAGACTGGGGATGAGGAAGACGAGGTTCACTGGACGCCAAGCCGCATCACCGAGCGGCTGGGTCGTGAGATCAACCATGAGGATTCGGTTCTCTACTGGGCCGCCCGAAATGGAATTCCCGTATTCTGTCCCGCCCTGACGGATGGATCTCTGGGTGACATGCTTTACTTCCACACCTTCAAGTCTTCCCCACAACGACTCCGGGTGGATATTGTGGACGATGTGCGCCGTATCAACACCATGGCTGTCCGGGCGACACGTGCCGGCATGATCATCTTGGGTGGTGGGCTCGTCAAGCATCACATCGCCAATGCATGCCTGATGCGCAATGGGGCCGAGCACGCCGTGTATGTGAATACCGCACAGGAGTTCGATGGCAGTGATGCGGGTGCACGGCCGGATGAAGCGGTGAGCTGGGGCAAGATCAAGGTGGATGCCAAGTCTGTCAAGGTGAGTTTGGCTGTATTATCCTATTTCTTTGGGGCCAAGCTAACTCAATTCTTAGGTCTATGCTGAGGCTACGGCGGTATTCCCTATGATTGTGGCTGCTTCCTTTGCTCGTGCCGAACGGAAATGATTTCACTCCAGTCTCGGTACCGGGACTTGTTGCCAAGCAATGCGGGAACCCGCGGTCTAGAAATGTTTTTCTTTTCAGGGCCAATCAGTATCCATGAAAAGTGGTTTGGGGTCAAGACCCTTTGATCGCGCAATTGTTTCAGGATCGGGATCCCTACAATCTGTACGGAGTACGGAGTACAAGATGTATGATCGGCCTCTATAGCCATGTCTGATATTCCCGATGTGCCTGAAACAGAATCAGGGATTCAAAGGCTTCAGTGGCGACGGGGAAAGGGGGAAATTCCGATAAGCCGAGTTCGCCACCTGGGCACATCCCAAGGATATTCCCCTGAGTGGGGAATCAGCACACCGACTTTGTTGTGTATAACTAACAAGTGGTAACTAGTTATAGGTCTATTAGATAGATATCAGGTGATATAAGGGTTTCAACCCTATCTGCATATACATACATAGTCCAAAAGCCTCTATACAGACCTACCGAATTTCCCCCGGACTCGTTCTTTTTTCTTATCTTTTTCCTTTTTTTTTCTTTTCTTTTTCTACTTTTTTTTCCCCTCTGACTCCTTCTTTTTCTTCTTTTCTTCTTTTGTTTTTCTTCTTTTCTTCTTATCTTCCCCCTCTACTACAGTTCATTCTTTTTCTCCAGTCTCTCTCGGACCCCTTCTCTCCACATCTGGGGCCGCAACCTTCTTCTTATCCGATAAGCCCTTATCTTTATAGGACCTCGGAGTATATTAAACCCATTGGAACTGGGGTTTCCAATTGAAAGGCCATGGATCCCTTACCCAATTTGACGGTTGGGACTGAGGATACGATAAATACAGAGACCGACTCAATCCAATCCCCCGAACCATCACGTTCAACTCAGCCCGCCCCAATACGTCCCTCAGAAGAGCTAGAACATGCATATTGGGCAGAGTACGAAGAGGACACAACGGTACCAGATGAGGATGAGATGAAAGAGATCGACGGTGGTGACTCGGATTACAGTGCCAGTGATCGTAGGTGTCAACAATACAAACAAGGTCACGGAACATCCATTTACTAACCCCCTAACAGACAAGTATTGGGAAACAAACTTCTTTCGGGATTTGGGAGATCCCGAATACATTCCCACCGAAAAGGCCCGCCTGACGTGGACCTTAAAGGGTGTTCGGGGCACCCCCGAGAACCCCAATCGGGACAAAGTCATTCGCTCCCCGCCAGCATTTGTTGGAGGGTATTGGTGGCGAATCAAGTTCTACCCTCGGGGGAACAATGTCAATGCATTGAGCGTCTACCTCGAATGCTCGGCCACAATGCCCGCTCCAGAGGGCAAGCTTCCTGGAATGGAATTTACAGTCCGTCGAGGCGCAGCCGATGCTTCACTGGATGATAGCACGCCGGATATCCAAATAAAGACTACAGCTACAGACGACGCGGCAGCATGGTTTGAGAACTACATTTCTCGATATCCTGCGGCCAACAACAACCCCCAATCTGATCATGGAACCTCGGATTCTTGGCGTGTGCCCGCACAGGTCGGTGTCATTGTATACAACCCACAAGAGCCACGCACTGGGTGGATGCAGTCTTCTTGTCATCAATTCAACACTCACAACCTGGACTGGGGGTGGACATATTTCCACGGCCCATGGGACCAAATCCATTCACGCCGGCGGGGTCAACATCGTGCCCTCTTGAACGACGACACGCTCTCGTTTGACGCGTACATTCGTGTAGTGAATGACCCCACCAAGTCACTCTGGTGGCACCCAAGCGATTCCGAGCCAACTTGGGACAGTATGGCCTTGACCGGTTATCGACCTCTGGGTGACTCGATCATCAATCATAGCCCAGAGGTAGCTGGGCTTGCCTCGTGGCTGCACGTTGCCCCATTCTGCAAGATCATTCAAAGTATTAACGTACTTGAACATCTCACCAATGCCGATGCTAGGCCAAAGCCTCTATGTGACGCTCTTCAAAGGCTTCTGTGGCAGCTTCGCCGCCGGACACTCTCCCCGAGCTATGTCGATACGGACGTCGTGACTACCACTCTGCGCAATCTGCACGAGTTTTCGAGCGATGTGTCCGAATTCTGGGAGCGCCTGCGTCGCACCTTGGAGCTGGAACTGAAAGGAACGGAGGCCGGTAAACAATTCGCTCACCTCTTTGACAGTCCGGTTGTACATGGTCTATCTTCTGATGGCGAAGCCGCCGTGAACATGCTGCCGACTGAGTTCAACTCGCGTATTTACGTGCCAGTTGATCAAGCCAAGTCTACCTCCGAAGCTGTTAGTGGATACTTGAGTGCTAAGCCCGGTCGTTGGTCGCTTCCACCACTTCTTCATGTTGAGCTCGGCCGCCATACTCTGGACAAGGCCAAACGCTGGCAGCTGCGGTATGACAAAGTGGATATGGAGGAGGAGCTGGATCTGACTCCCTGGGTGGTTGATGGGCAGGGTAGCAAGTATGTCCTTTATGGCTATATTGTTCATCGTGGCCGCCGCACCTCGGGCAAGTTCTTTAGCATCCTTCGCCCAGCGGGTCCGGGTACTACATGGCTGGCTTTTGACGATGGCAGTGACAACCGCGTGGAGTGTTTGACTCAAAAAACAGCCATGGGCCCACACCTTGGTCTTGATCCTTCCCAGACTGTAGATCACAAGAAGGGTCATGACGTACCTGTCGTGGCAATGTATATCCGTGGTGATATGATATCGGAGCTTTTGCCTGGTCCCCAAGAACCTTGGGAAGTTCCCGAGACCCTGAAACAATACTATGAAACAGGCGTGTATCACACTGGTGGCAAGCCTGCGGATGATGTCCAGGTTGAGGTTTATGCGCTTCCCCAATATGACCAGCTGACCAGCCTATTTGACGCCTACGATCTCATGGCGCAGGCCAAAGCGGCAAATAGTGTCATGTACATCACTCTGCCCCGCTCATCACGCTTAGTGGAACTACGCAAAAGGATTGCTATATGGAAGTCCTCGGGCTCCGAACCTATTGGTCCCGAGCGGGTTCGTTTCTGGCAGATTGGTAATTCCTTTGCTCAATCTGGATCATCGTTGGCGTTTGATCGCACTACAGATCTGAATGTTCCGCTGGACCCTTCGTTGAGCACCATACGGTTCTGGATGGAAACCATCTCGGAAGGTACGTGATTTCACCTTGGTTTCTTTTCTAACCATGATCACCCGCTAATCTTCAGCAGAGGATGCTCAATTCTTCGCCATCCCAGATCCCCCTGCGGTTACCACTTCGGAAGATAAGCCTGATGAACTTGTCGTCGAGGACTTGGTACACGGAGCTTCTGAAAATGTGGCATCTGTGGGCGAAGGAGATGCTGTGGCTAGCTCATCAGGAAATGCTCCCCATGAGAGACCTGTTGCTTTAGATATCGTCAACTCGATTGTCGATGACGCATCACCGCCTCCATTGCCCACATTGTCTCCAGAGAATGATGCTTTTGCCACTGAACGGGCAGAACAGGAAGTGGTACTAGCTGCTATCGCTGCCCATGATCAACAAGCCACGGCTGCTGTTACGGTAACTCCATCAACAGAGGCCACAAGCTCCGCTCCCATATCACCTTCCGCAGCAGAAGTTCAACCTCGACCACAAACTCAACCTGAGGTTAAGTTACCTGTTGGCCATACATACTACTTTATTCAAATCTTCGACGTAGACCGTCAAGTTCTTCGTACCGTGGGATCATTCTTCTCCAAGCTTGATGCCAACGTCAAAGCGTCCATCCGACGCCACTTACAGCGGCCTCTTCGTCAAGACTTCCTCATGTGGAAGCGAGTTGATGGGGCTGCCGTTACCACCGTGTCGCCTGCTGACAGCTTCGATGATGTGGTGGCTCCGCACGGAGCATGTTTCATCGTCGGGGATAAGTTGACCAAGGAGAAGTAAGTACACATAGATATGGCTTTCAACCTTTGCTCTTTGATTCTAACACAAACACAGGCGTACTCAAATTGCATCATCAGGATTGTTCACTGGTCCTGACCGTCTAATTCAGTACCTGTGGGCCGATTCTCGCGGTCATCCAATCCAAGGTTTCACCGGCACTAAGACCATCGAAGCCACCTTCACAACCGACTACTACAGTGGTTGCTTCCTCAAAGGTTACCACCATGGTAGAGGCAAGCACATCTCGAGCACAGGCATGGCATACGAAGGCGAATTCATCTTTGGCCGGCGTCACGGCCAAGGCAAGCTAACTTACCCCACCGGCGACTCATACGACGGTGATTGGGCTGAAGATGTATGCCATGGACAAGGTACTTACATTGAAAAAACGACAGGCAACAAGTATGTCGGCGGTTTCAAAGATGGCAAACGCCACGGCAAGGGCATCAGCTACTGGGAGGTGGCTGATGCAGAGTTGGACCTATGCCAAATCTGCTACACCGAGGAAATGGATGCAGTCTTCGCCGAGTGTGGTCACCTTTGTTCCTGTGTGACTTGTGCGAACCTCGTGAATCTGTGTCCCATATGTCGCAAAGAGGTCAAGAAGGTGATTAAGATTTATCGGGTATAGAGTACGGAGTAGTATCTGGGGTATTTTTGTTGGACTATAGACGGGATGCTCCTTTTTAACCTTTTTGGGCACTTACATTTTAGCGAATGGCGATTTGGGATATGGGGAGTGATGCGATTGATTTGCGATTGATTTTATATACACATACCACCCGGGTGGATTTAGATTGATATACGCAATTCTTATACTATATTCAACTATGCCTTGTGTCGTTTTGAAATAACACAGTGTAGAGTACGTGATTTAGCACAATCGTACATCAAATTGCTTTTTTATTTTTTTATATTTTTTTGAAACACAGTTTGATCTTGATTGAACAAAAGGTATATCCAATGCGCCGGGTCCCGGACCTAATACATGATGCTTTTTGACTTGCCTGAAGAAAAACGAAGAATTATACACAAGGGATGATCACATTGATCATTTGCTGGCCTTCTTGGCCGACTTCTTATCCTTCTTCTCGACCTTGCTCTTGGCCACGGTCTTCTTCTCTTCCTTTTCCGTGGTCACCGGCTTCTTCTCTTCCTTAGCCTTAGTGGCAGGCTTCTTATCTTCCTTAACCACAGCCTTCTTCTCACCCTTTGGCTCAGTGGTAGACTTCTTTGAGGAAACGGCCTTGGTCTCTTCTTCCAGGCTCGGTGTTGCTGTCTCGCTTGTCTTCTCTGACACCTCAGCCTTGCTCTTCTTGGGCTTGTTCAGAACACCCTTGGGGTTAAGACCCTTGCGACGAATACGGTTGCGCTCAGCGCGAGCAATGCGCTCGGCATCCTCAGGATCCTCGAAGGAGCTGAAGGCACCACCTTCGAAATCAGCGGCGTGGCCGTTCTCGTCAACAATCGGGGTCCTGTCAATGGACTCGTCGTCCGTGGAGTCAGCCGAGGAAGCACTGCGAGCCTTCTTGGGGCCCTTGGAACGGGATTCGGTGTCGTCCGACTTGGCCACGGGGGTTACGGCAGTCTTCTTGAGCTTGCAGACGTAGAAACCGTCAACGTTCTCGCGGTGGGGGAAGTAACGGCGGGTGAGCGCCATCTTGGGATCGAAAGTCTTGCCCATATAGCTGAGGAATCCAGGGCTACCGAAGCCACCAAGGCCGGTATCCACGATCTTAACATTGGGACGCTTGCGAAGAACATACTGCACAACAGCCTCGTTCTCTTCAACTGTCACACTGCAAGTAGAGTAGACAACGTATCCACCGGTCTTGGAAGTGTGGTCGACAGAATCAATTGCAGCCAAAAGAAGCTGGCGCTGCATGTGGGGAATGGCGAGGAAATCACGCTCGTTCTTGGAGGTCTTGACACTAGGATCCTTCGAGATGACACCAGTACCGGTGCAGGGAGCATCGAGCAAAACACGATCGAAGCCACCCATGGCCTTGGGGAAAGCAGTGCGGGCATCCATGTTCGTCACAATGGTGTTCTTGCAGCCGAGACGGTGAATGTTACCAATCAAACCCTTGGCACGGGGCTTACTGGCATCGTTTGCGACGACACAGCCAGTGTTGCGCATCAGGGCGGACATGTATGTCGTCTTACCACCGGGGGCAGAGGCCATATCGAGGACTCGCTCATTAGGCTGGGGGGCGAGAGCCATGACGGGGAGGAAAGAAGAGGCAGCCTGGAGAATGTAGTGACCAGCCAGGTACTCGGGGGTGGCACCCAGGGGAACCGGAGACTCGAAGACTTGCAGGCCAACCTTGGACCATTTGCCAACGGGCTCGAGGACAACACCACGGTTGATGAGGGCCTGGGCGAGAGATCGGCGGTTGGTTCGCAGAGTGTTGGTACGGATAACGACAGGGCGAGGAGTCTCGTTAGCTTCGAAGAAGGCAAAGGCCTCTCTGGGGGTGAACAGGTTGAAGAGCTTCTCGGCCAGGAATCGAGTGTAGCCGTAGTATGTGCAGATATCGTCGAGCAGGAGATCGATATAGTCGGTGCGCGACTTACCGGGCAGGCCGAGGGTCTTCAGATCACCCAGGATTCGAATGGTATCTGTGATGCGCTGGCGAAGCAGCTGCAGATCAGGGGCGAGACCCTGCTGGGCTTGGTCGGTGAACACATCGGGTGCAGCGATATTGGTCTGCATGGCGGCTTCCTGCATTTCCTGCTCAGCGGCCTCCTCCTCCTCTTGTTGCTCAGCATCCAATTTCCGCGACAGACCCTCGATGTTGGCGGCGGTCAATCTCTCTTCGGCATCGGAATCCTCGTCGTCAGAGAACATGGCTCCACGGGTGTGGCCCTCGTCGTCAGAGTCGACAACCGAGTTATCATCCTCTAGGTCAGACAATCCTTCAACCTGATCGTCGCTATCCATTGAGCCGTCACTGATCCCATCGAGATCACCGAACTCATCATCCATATCTTCATCATCATCAGACATAGGCACCGGCACAGCCTTCTTTGTAACTGCGGGCTGCTTCTTCGATTCCTTGGAATCGGCCTTGAGAGCAGCACCATTGACCTTCTTCTTCTTGGGGACTTCCTTCTTCGAGACAGACTCATCGGCATCAGATCTGCGACGCTTTGATGGTGCAGGCTTCGGAGGTGCCTCAGCCGCGCCAGCCTTGCGTTTCTTGAGCATTGTGATTTTTGACTCATCGAGCGGGGCCGGAGGGCCCTGCTTCTTCATACGGCGACCGACACCCATTGTAAAAAAGTGGTGTATATGGGGACGTTAATGGTGTTTGCTTTCTGGGAGCTTGTAATTTCTTTCCGTCTTTTTTTTTCTCTTCGGGCGGTAACCATCAGCAGTACAGAAGTAACAAAAGCGGTGTACGTATTTACATTGGATGCCTTAGTTCCAAGGTGTCTATGCCCCATCGGCATCAAGCGCCTTGATGTGCAACATATCCAGAATATCCACTACTCCAACCTATCGCCTTGGATTTGCTTTCTCTCTCTATTTCTTTTCCTTGAGAATCTCTACTACCCGATCTCAATTGCTCAACATGTCGGAGCTAACCTTTACCAAATCATTCCTGTCCATGCTGGACTCGCGGCCTATCAAGCTTCGCGCTGATCATGTCTCCGATCCAGAGCAGATTGGACTACGAGTTCCCGTTAGTCTTGATGCGAACATTCCCTCAGCTTGATTTACCAATAAATATCATTTTAACATGCTTTCTGCAAATTATAGTACACCCTCCCCCGCCTTTCAGCCCCGCACCCTCCGATGCCCAAAAAAGTGAGGTCAACACAGGCACCAGGCTCATCCAAATCAATCACTGTCCGCGTCAAGTCTGCCCGCAATCCTGCTCTGGAATTCTTGATCTCCAATGCCGCTCTATCGACCACCTCGGTCCAGGACATCCGAGATGCTGTGCGATTGCGCGTCACCGATGCGCAGGGAGGCCAAGTTCCGCTAGAGAAGATCAAGATCCTATACAAGCGCAAGCCAGTGACTGGAACCGGGAAGACATTGGCCGAGGTATTGGCAGATGAGCCTGCCATTTTGGCGGGAGGCAAAGAAGTCGAGATCGGGGTTATGATCATCGGTGGCGCCCAGGTAGTTGAAACTGCTGTGGCTCAACCGGATATCACAGAGAAGCGGGATGAATCACCGCCCAAGGCCGCTGTAGGTCCGAGTGGTGAGGAAGTGTTGAATACAGAGGCTTTCTGGGATGACCTGCAAGGCTATCTCCAGCAGCGATTGAAGGACGAGGAAGAAGCAAAAAAGTTGAGATTGGTGTTCAAGGAAGCGTGGAGTTCAACCAAGTAGAGTATATCTACATAACAGCGCAGCGAAATAATGTCAATATCGAATGATACCTGTACTTGTTCTAGTTTCACATACGTCTCGTGTCGGTGATAATCTAACAACCCTACATATGTGTATATTCGATGAATAGTATGGATTTAAATGTTATACACACACATGAGCTATCAGTATCCAAGGCACAAGCTACATAGGCACATCGAAGAACGGGAGAAAAGAAAAACTTATCCACAGCAAGCAATACGACAAATATTGAGATCATTCAAAAGGCTATCAGGCACTTGAAAACAGATCAAGACCTATCACAGCAAATGGAACAGTGTTTGAACAAGATATGTTCTAGTTCCCATAGAAAGCAGACCGTGTACTGAAACAGTTGAAGGGAAGAAAACATCCACGCACGCCAGGGAATCTTTGTCGAACATGGTTATCAGCAAAGTAAAAAAGTACACATGTTGAAAAAAGAAATTAAAAAAAGAAGCAAAATCACGTAGGATAGCATAATTAACCACACAGTGTCGGTGAACACCGTTGCAAATGCTCAAAAGAACTGGTCCAGTCGCTCATCCAGTTCATGGGATCATACAGAAAACGACAAACAAACGCGAAAAGATACACACACAGGTATAACGCAAAAAGAATCATACACGGGTTTTTCATTCCGTCGTTTTAATCATCGGGAAAAGGCCTTGGCCACGCCATCTCCGCCACCGCCGACAACCCATTTACCATCACGGCTCCATACCACGGAACAAACTCCTTCATCGCGCATTAGCCGGTAGCTTGTCAGCTCCTGGGTACAGCTGCGCTTCTCAAGATTCCAGAATCGCAAGCTTGCATCATGGCCAGCCGAAACGAGCTCACGCCCATTCGGGGATAATGCCAGTGAGGCTATCGCAGCAGGATGAGCAAGCATTGTGTATGTACATTGACCTATATCAAATGTTAGCGCGTTGTGGGGAGTTGCAAGGTCCTCCAGATGCCACTCACCACTATTCGCATCAAAGAAGCGGATGTACCGGTCCTCGTAACCACTGATGATTACACCCTCTACGCTGCTTGAACCAGTAGCTCCGTGAACCACTGCTTCTTCTTCAGCAATCGCGCGGTTGGGGTCAAGATTAACAGTTCCATCAAAGCCGACAGTGGTGGCGACGACTGAGTTCACCCCAGTAGCAGGCGTGCCATCATATGTCTCGAGACTGGCCATACCCGCAACTTCTTCGCCTGTCCGCGTGTCGTAGACAATAATAGAGGCATCCGAGTAGGAGACGACAAAGTTGACGCCTGCAAGAGACAAGGGGCTGATGCATGTTGGGGAAGGAGAATTGGTGCGGGGGATGCGATGAACAATGGTGTACTGGAGAGATGTAGTTGTAGCAACATTGGGTTGAGGGATTGTTTGGATGTTGGAACCGGAAGACATTGAGTTTGAGTTCGCCCGATGACGGCCTTTTGCAACCGGGGGTGAGTAAGGTTGAAGAATGTCACTGATAGCCCAAATCAAGACGCAGCCATCTGCTGCGCCGGAGGCCAGAAGGATTCGATCAGATCCACCATAGCGACTGCTTGAGTCACCAAAGACAGATCCAACGGTCCCGGGAAGAACGCAGAGTCCCCAGACAGCATCCGTATGACCCCCTTCCAAGGTGGCCTTGGGATCAATCCGCCCACGTTCCCATACACGCACGCTGGCATCTTGGCCACCGGAAAACACCCAACCATCACCCAAGATACGGCCGTCACTGGAGACGTTCTGAGACGGTGAGCAGGCGGCAAGGGAAGTCACAGCGCCTTCGTGTCCGCGATGAGTAAAGGAGCTCGTAATGTCCAAACTCTGGTTAGAACCAGCTCCAGAGCTACCAGAAGTAGACGGGATGATCCATCGCTTGATAGTTCCATCGTCGCTGCAAGTGCAGATCTCGGGATATGTTGGGCTACCACCGCCGGTGAAGATGACAGATCGAATCACATCCAAGTGGCCACGCAGCGCAAATCGATATCTGAAGTCTTCCTGCTGTCCGGTGGTCGTAATTGCCTCCCGGGTGTCAATCGCACCATCGTTCTTGCGCATTGATCCCGAACTCTTCCTGCGGTGGGGGAGAGACCCGCTTTTGGTGGACTCAGAGCGCATAAAATTGGCATTTGGGAAAACATCGGTATCCGGACGATGAAGCGGGAGGGGTTCGGTGACCACAAGTTCCTGCTCCGCCGGTTCGTCAAAAGTCCACCCATCCACATCCTCTGTTCTTTCCTCGGTCAAGTTCTGCAGGTTCACATCCTCCTTGACGACTACTCGAGGGCCCTGGACCTCGTATGCCTGGTTTGGGCGATCATCCATTGTGCCCTGTTCGTATACCTGGGTTCGACTTTGGATTGGTGCGACAGGGGCTTGCTGCGGGTCCATCGACCGTCGATCCATGCCATCCCGAGGAAGATACTGGTTTTGAGCACGAGCCATGGCATTGTCAGAATAGTGATTGGACATGGGTTGGTGGTTTTGTAAGGCCATTTCACGTGCCATAACATGATTCGTTTTCTGCCGTTGCTGCTGGAGATAAGCCTCCTCGAGGTTCTGTTGCGACAGCTGTGAATTGCCATAAAGCTGGCCTGACATGTCGGAGTCGTTCATGTCAGGTGTCGGGTGAGAGGCGGGTATAACATGGTACGCGATTTCGTGGGAAGCTTTGGACAGGTATCCTCGGACTTTGTCTATGTCTTCAAACTGACCTTCCTGCTGGTTCTCGTTCTCGTGTTCTTCGTCATTCGCATGGTCCGTGCTCGGCTTAGGACGATGCGCTGGTGAATAACCCAGTTAATATTTCCACGTCGCGTGCTAGCATACAATTGCAAGTCACATACCTTTCAGGAAGTTGACACTTTCACGTGCAGCATCTTTGGGATCCTTGGAGTCTTCGGATTTTTCGTTGTTCGAAAGCTTCTTGACCTTCTCCCTCTCCCTCTTCAGAGCGGTCTCCATCAGCCGAACATGCTTCCCAAGAGACTCATGCAGGCGCTTGCTTGTGCGCAGATCACCTTCTAATCGGCCAATGCGGGACTTCATCTCTGCCCGTTCAATCTCCCATGCATTGCGGTCGCGCTCATGTCGGTGCCATTCCGTCTGTAGGAAGCGCATTACACCTGGAGACGGAGATCAGTCAATGGCATTCAAGAAATCAGGTAGATTCTTGCTCACCCTGTAATGTGTATTCCGTCCCCTGTGGGCCATTCGAACCATCCATGCCGCCGGGCATTCCTCCGATCCCAGCCATGGCTGATGGAGATTGCCAGGACATCAACAAACACGGGACGGGTCAAGGCTCGGAGGGGTCAAAAGTACTGCAGGAGGTACCAAGGGCGAAATCAGGCCGGTAGTAAATCGAGTAACGTGTAAGGTGTGAGCTTCGGTTTCTCCTGACCCCGGTAAATCGTATCCGCAGTAAGCGAACCAAGTCCCCTAATGGCGACGGTAAGGAACCACGTCCCACACCGTGTCAGCCTGTGTATGAGGTCCTAAGGAGGAAGATCCAAGGGGGAACAAGATCAAGATCGGACAATGATAGCAAAGTTATGAGAATGTGCCTTCACTGATCTTTTGTTATGGTGAAGATGGCTTGGCCTTGGGGGCTACTGACCGCCTTCTAGATGGAGAAGATTGACCTGCGCGTTACCTCCAGGTTTGGAGGTACATAGTTGGGTAAGCAATTGGACGAATTGGGGGGGGGGGGGGGGGGGGGGGCGGGTTTAAGTTGCACATGAAAGAAGTTTTTGTGTGATGGAAGATTCAATAGGTTTCAGAGCAACAATTAAGCCAGGTTGAGTGGGTTGACTCCTATCTTTCCAGACACCCACTATATGACCTCCATGGCTAACTATAACAACCTGCAAGTATATACCTACAGCATAGATGTACCGCAGACTTGAATACTATAATTGTTTGATGTGTATGGATTCTCTGATATCTACATTGATATCGAGCTTGACAGTTGGCTCTTGCGGAATTAAAACGATATCATTTGACTCTTTATAGAACAGCTCAATATTGACCATTTTTTTCAACCAAAGCCTTTTCTAATAACTTGTGTTCAATAGGTTATAGGTTCAAATGCTAAATTTGCTCGTGGTCTCATACAATAATCTTCATGCTATGGTTCATTTTGCTCTAGAACTCGAGCTCTTCCACCTCCATTCCACAGTCTACACACGTCTTGACACTAATTCCAGTTTCTGAATTCTCAACGGATCGACCCCATTGATGAACATGCTTCCGCCCAGAACCGAGATCATCGCCAAACTCTCCACCTGAAGCACCTTGTCGATTGCGTCGGTAGGCCTCCACACGTGTGCGTTTCTTCAGCTCCTGCAGCTTCGTTTTAAATTTGGCCTCTCGTCGCCGTTTCTTATCACCTTCTCGCCGCTCAAACTCGGCGTCCAGCGCCTCCGTTGAGCCCCATTTCTTCTCTGAAAATGCATATTCTTCGACCTGATATCGTAGATACAACATCATGCTGTTCCATGTAGACTTGTGTGGATTCGGACGCTCGAGGCGTGGAAGGAGCTCTTCATCTCGGAGTTCAGCTGCGCGCAGGCAGATTAGCACATCTCTATTCTCATAGGCGGCAATTGAATACTCACGATCTGTCAAGAGATAATCTTCTTTTGCTTCCGTCTTGGTCAACAAACTGTATTTTTCTGGGTGCTTCTCCTTGCAAGCATGACAGATGCAACATTTCAGTTCTTCTTCCCATTTCCAATCAATTTCGAGACTGCCACATTCACGACATGTCTTCTGCTTGCTTTTATCATCTAAGACACTCAGACCAGGTTCAAAGGGTCCCTCCCGATTTCGCTTTAGTGATTGCAATATTTGATGGCGTTCCCATTCCTTCTGCGTCATATGTACTGGCTTTTGTACATCTTTCCCATCTGGCACGTGTAGTTGTTTATTGAACGGGTCATCCTCCTGGGTCAAAAATCCACCCTTCGTATCGGTCATCTTGCTAAAGTCATAGTCGACATAGCTTGTGAAGTTTCGGGCTGGTTTGATCGAGTCCAGTGGGCGATTGGAAGAAGATGCATCGCGCATATTAGCAGGCTGACCGGATGCCACCATCGAAGTGAACGAACGCTTGACACCTGTTGCGGGTTGGGAGGTATTCGGAGCGGCTTGGGATAATTCGGCTTCACGTTTCTCTCGAAGAGCTTTAGCTTTCATGCGATTAATTTCCTATCAGCAAGACTGGTTAGTTTGGGCTGACCATGTCGCAAACTTCGAGGGAACTTACTATCCTCCGTTGTTGTTCCGGAGTGATAGGAGCGCGCGGAAGTTGTCCTGCCTCTGAGCCCTTGGGCTGTGCAGGAGGGGTCGAGGGCCGTTCTGCTGACATTTTGGGATTAATCTCTCAACCGTAATGGCTGTTTTCCTTGTCACCTGAGTGAGATGAGCAAGGCGGAAGGCGGAAGGCGGAAGGCGGAAGGCAACCAGACTCCCCGATCTGTCAATCACGTGATATCCGTATAAATCGACGTCATTGGGGCCCAGTAAACAATTTTGGAGTTATCGGCTTGAATTGGCAAAGAAATCGATTAAACCGAGAAGCTATGAGTCTCCAGCCGGGTAATCGAAGTCGTCCTCTCGATCTTGGCCGTACAAAACCTCACACACGCCCCCTACCGGCACATCCATAACGGCGTCGGTTCCTTCACTCCAAATTTCCCGCCAATTCACCTTGCGATTTTGGGGTCCCATGATCTGGTAGGAGGTAGCACCGGGCTTCATCTTGGTAGCACCACCGGGACGTCTCCGTGCTTTTCCATCAATCACCGATACATTCGCGACTTCATCGACAATGTTCTCGATGCTGTGCATGGGCAAAGTAAGATAGCCTGTATTATATGTGGCAAGCGCAGCATAAATGTAGATAAGAAACATCACCAGCCACGCGGGTATTGCCAGAGACCACCAACGGTTGGGATAATAGTAGATGCCTAGCTGATGGAGGAATGGCGATGGGAGATAAGACCATAGGAGGTAAAACACTAAGTTTGTCCGGTCAGTATGCGGGAGACTACAAAGGGCAATTTTCCACGAGACTTACGAAAAGCCAATGACGAAGCCAAGTATAACACGAAACCATAGTATTCATAGGTAGGAACCTTCGGACTGGCGCGCGGAACGGTGGTTGCGCGACGAGCTGACTTGGCGACTGCCGCCTCGGTATCGTTGGGAGTCTCGACATCGGAACTGTCCGGAGTAGTTGGACGTGATGTAGTAGTCGAGAAGGGCGGCCGAAGAAGAGAAGTGAGGGAGGGAGAGGGCGGTAGAGGGGTAGGTGGACGATTGTAGAACGGAGGCGCAAATGCATTGGGGCCGTGGAGAGAGCCGGAGGATTGGCGAAATGGATGATTTCGGTCAAGATTAGAAGAATCGTCGGAGTCTGTATCAGAGAATGATTGATGCTCTAGCGAGTAGTGCGACTGGAAATCCGCATCGTCTTCCACCTCAATCTCCTCATAGCCGGGGGAGGTGATACTGGCGTCTTCATAACTCTCTTGCGGTTCGTCCGGGGATATAGGGTCTTCAGCCAGCAGAGGTGGGAAGGGCTGCTTAGCCTCGAACGAATTGAACGTCCTTGCCGAGTTCTCCATTTTGCGAACTGACGAAGAGTTGATGTTGTTGATATCTCCCCTTTTTCTGCAATCATCACCAGATTCACCGCTCTCCCCATCTTTACACCTTTTGTACTTGAACTTTTGAGATTCATATTTGATACTCGATTCGTTTTCTTATATGTATGACTGTCTCTTCATGTTCCAAGTATAATAATGAATTGTGTGAGCTATCTTGGATAGGATTGGATTTTTGTGAGGCGATATATGTTGTAGTTCTCTAGTTGACACAGATCGATATCCCATCTGGACATTTGTTCCAACTTAATCATACATGGACAAAGGTCCGAGAAGATCTATAGCAAGATATCTTAACACAATTCATTATTAGATATACACCCAACTATGTCCTCCAGTTCCCTCTCGGATCGACTCCGTTGCGAAGGCGGACACTCCGCTCTCGGCCCCTCCGACTCGGACTTCGAACTCCCCAATTTCCTTTCTATATATATTTTTTTTTCATTCTTGTTCTTTTTGGCCATAACCTCATTCTCCTACCTTACTTTCCCTAAAGTGATCACCCACTATGAATTCCACCGAATTAGAGCATATCCGCGGGGTTTGGGAACGAACCAAGAATGAAAGCCCTATCTATCGCCTACTTCTCTCCGATGTCGATATTATTAGTGCAACCTGTGGCCAAATGCAAGCCCGACTTAAGCTCACAGCGGAACATGTCAATTCCAGGGGCACCATTCATGGGGCTGTCTCTGCAACCATCATCGATTGGGCCGGGGGAATGTCGATAGCCACACATGGATACGAGAGAACGGGCGCAAGTATTGATATCCACGTTTCGTATCTGTCAACTGCCACCATCGGAGATACCCTGGATATCTCTGCCGTTGCGGATCGGGTGGGGAAGTCAATGGCCTTCACAACCATCAAAATCTCCCGAGTCGTCGACAATGAAGTGGGCCCTTTGGTTTCAAAGGGTTCACACACAAAGTTCCTGCCTGTCTCCAAAGAGAATCGTGAACAAAAGAGCTGAAGTCTTATTCCAAGGATGTTGTATATAGAAATAGACGAGATTCCAATTCTTCAACAGCTCGGAAAACTACCAATTCTACCCAGAGGGCCTTCTATTTCTGATCATGTCCTCCCCGTCGAAGATGTTATACCACCATCCACGATAAGCTCCTGCCCAGCGATATACTGCGCCTCATCACTAACTAGGAAAAGCGTAGCATTGGCAACATCCGACGCATCACCCATTTTCCCCCATTGGAACTTGCGCATGACGCATCTCCATGTATCTTTCCGCTTGACCATCTGCCGCATATCTGGATACCATACATTTTGTGTACGGGGTGTCCATGAGCCCAGATACAACCGTGTTCAAACGTACACCTTTAGGTGCATAGATGACAGCCGTTGTCTTCATCAACTGAATGATGGCAGCCTTTGTCGCGGCGTGTCCAACATGGGGCTTTCCAATGTACCTCAAGCCAGCGATACTGGCAACGCTCGCCACTCCACCACTGCTTTGCTGCGCCATTATCGGTAGAACATGGTGGCACATCAAAAACACACTCTTGAGATTGAGGTCCACCTGGGAATTCAAGACTTCCTTCAGCATTGTAGTAGGGCACCCCGGCTCTGACCTCCCGTATCAGAATGTCAATCCTTCCGTGTTTAGCCATACAAGTTTCCCTGAGGGTCTTTGTTGATGCAGCTGATGTCACGTCTGTTTCCACAACGCCACGAGTTCCACCCGCGTCTAATCCATTTATAGAAGAGTTTCAGTCAAATAGAGCGGTCATCAAAATGGGATTGTCCCGACGGGTTTCCCGTTCAGCGGGCACACTCCCGATATACAACGTGCAAAGCCATATTCTCTGACATGTTTGCTATCAGCGGTGTGGTTATCCAGAAAGACGTTCTCAAATACATGTATGTTTGAAGTTGCAACAAAATGTAGTGTAACCTTTGCATAGACCTTAGAACAAGTAAGGGTTGGAAAAGTGGTGAGACAACAAGGCCTCACGTTCAGGTTTCTATACGTTCTACTTGTATGTTATGCTCCCTACATTCTACATACACTCTGCATACATTCTGCATACATTCTGCATACATGCGTATACGGATGACATCAGCCTCTCGACCTCCCGAGGTCCCGAGGTCGGGACTCTTTCAAGGTCATGTATATATTGTACTCCAACAGATTACCATCCTAGAAGATACGACAGATCATATATTCTCACACATTTCCACGTGAGAAGCATATACCGGTTTTTCGGCATATATTTTGACACTCCCACAACATTCTCCATGTACAAGTTTCCACCCCCTTGCATTCAGCCCTGAAGCCTCTTGTGGGTAGAAGCCGAGCTACTGAGTCCAGTGGAAGGGTCTTCTGTACAATCCTTGTACCATTCCTTGTGCGACAAGTTCACAGGACATGGCAAACCTTGGAAGTACATAGTTTCATATTGCATGAACCTATGAACTTCAAATCTTCAAAGTTCTCAGGGGTCGACTAGCGCGGATCGGCCAAATAGGATTTTTTTGGAGTAGACCCGCACTAGTTGGTGGATTTTCTAGTTTTTTTTCTCCTTTTCGATCTCTTTCTTTTTTTTTTTCAAAGGGTTCTTTGTACTTGATAGGTTGAACACCGGTTCTACATTACTGCATTTCGAATATAATAGAGTACTTCTTACATGTCGCCAAGGGAGACCCACAAACTATCGGATCGACAAAGACTAGACTTGGGATTAATAAATTAATCTGGCCTATCAGCGCTTGCATTCACGAACTTGTCAATCTTCATTGTGGGTGACAGGTCGGAAACGGGGACCATGTGAAGAGAGCATTGCCTTTCTCTTTGCTTCTTTTCTACGGGATTATTCCGTATAGTCCCCTATGTCCTGTCATATTGGCTTGTATATTTCTTTGCTTTTCAACTTGGAGAGACTATACTCACCATGGACATAACGGTATAACCACCCCCCACCAAACCCGTAGAGAAATCCTTGCTAATGTGATCCAGGATAACGATTCAAATATTGGCTCGTCGCGAGGCGACGCGTCGACCACCTCTGGTGATATCGCCAGCAGTCTCACCGGCGGAGGGGGTTCATCAGGCTCGGCATTGATGATGACTTTATTGCCTGCGCTCGCATACGCTTTGTTTTGGGTCAGCCTGTTTCTGATATTTCGGCGAACTCAGCGTCGATGGTACGCTCCGAGATCCTACTTGCCCGATATACATGAGCATCAACGGAGTCCCGAATTGCCTTCTGGCTGGGTTAACTGGCTTGGGACATTTTTAAAAATCGAAGACAATCATGTTCTTCACCACTCATCCCTCGACGGTTATCTGTTCCTGCGATTTTTGCGCGTCCTGGCTGCAACATGTTTGACGGGCTGCGTGATTACATGGCCCATTCTGCTGCCTCTTCATGCCACTGGGGGCAATGGCAATACTGAGCTCGACATCCTAAGTTTCAGTAACGTCAAGAATCCTAACAGATACTATGCCAACGTCATAGTGGCATGTGTGTACTTCTGTAAGTCCTCAGGATCCACTTGCAAAAAACTGCCTACTGACGAGTATAGCGTTCGTGTTTTATGTTGTGGTCAGAGAAAGCCTGTACTATGCAAACCTCCGTCAGGCCTACCTCAACTCGCCTGCCTATGCAACTCGAATGTCGTCTCGTACAGTCCTCTTCATGTCAGTTCCGGACGCGTACAAGAACGAGGACAAACTACGACAAGTATTTGGGGACTCGATCTGCCGAACTTGGATTACCTCCGACTGTTCAAAGTTGGAAAAGATGGTCAAAGAAAGAGATCAATTAGCCGAGAAGCTGGAAACCGCAGAGACTAAGCTCATTCGGCGCGCAAATAGAATTCGCATCCAAGCAATCAAAACAGGCGAATTGACTATTGATACGTGCCTGGACTGCGAGTCCAGCAACCCATCATGGTCTCATAAGGTTGAACGTCCCATGCATCGACTGAAATTTTTTGGCGAAAAGGTCGACTCCATCCACTGGTATCGGGCTGAGCTCGCAAAGAAAACCGAAGAAGTATCCAATATGCAATCCAAACACCAAAATGGCCAAGCAAAAATGCTCAGTGCAATCTTTGTCGAATTCAACAGCCAGGCCGATGCACAAGTCGCCCTACAAACCCTGTCGCATCACCAGCCGTTCCATATGACGCCTCGATTTATTGGAGTTTCACCTTCCGAGGTTGTATGGCCGGCACTGAATCTGAGCTGGTGGCAAAGAATTGTCAGGAGATTCGCAGTCCAGGGATTCCTGGCGGCGATGGTCATCTTTTGGTCGTTTCCTGCGGCAATAGTTGGTGCGATTTCGAACATCACGTACATCTGCACGCTGATCCCCTTCCTCAACTTTATCCTTGACTTGCCCGATTTCATAAAAGGAGCGATTGAGGGTCTTCTGCCTGCAGCGGCCCTAGCGGCGTTGATGTCCCTAGTGCCGATCATCTGTCGCAGTACGCTCCCCAAGTTTGTCTTGTTCCTCGAAACCCTGCTGACTTTTACATAGTATGTGCTAGGCTAGCTGGAGTCCCATCAAAGGCACGAGTTGAGCTGTTCACACAAAGTGCCCACTTTGTCTTTCAAGTGGTACAAGTGTTCTTGGTCACGACCTTGACATCGGCTGCATCGGCTGCTACTGCACAAATCGTCAAGGATCCTCTCTCGGTTAAAGATCTGCTGGCGCAGAACTTACCCAAGGCGACTAATTTCTACATTTCTTACTTTATGCTGCAGGGACTGAGTATGAGTTCCATGGCCCTTGTTCAAATTGTCAGCGCTTTGGTGTTCAAGTTTGTGACCACATTCTTTGCCTATTCCCCTCGTCGTCTGTTTCAAGGATGGGCCGAACTGGCCAGTCTGAGCTGGGGCAATGTCTTTCCCGTCTTCACCAACATGGCTGTAATTGGTAAGAGATGCCCTACTCATGCTCCAACGAAGACAAACTGACTTCATTATTTAGCGTTGACCTATTCATGCATCGCACCTCTGATTCTGGGATTTGCCTTCCTCGGACTTTATCTTGTGTACCAAGCCTACCGATACAACTTCCTCTTCGTATATGACATCGACATCGACACAAAGGGACTAGTCTACCCACGAGCCCTGCAACATTTGTTGACGGGTCTCTACCTGGCTGAGATTTGCTTGATAGGACTTTGCGCCATCAAGGGCGCTATCGGCCCAGTCATTATCATGGTCCTATTCATGGTTGGCAACATCCTGGCACACATGTCGCTCAACGACGCACTCACTCCACTGAATACTTTCTTACCACGATCCCTTGACGCCGAAGAGGAAATGCTTCAAGAAAAAGAAGACGCAGTGGCAGCGATCAACGAAGAGCGCCGCCCACGCGCAATGGCCTTCTGGAGATGGTTCCACCCGAACGTGTACAAAGATTACGCGGCATTGCGTCAAAAGGTTCGCCGGAACCTTGAGGCGGTTTCGTACACACCCGAAGAGATCCATACAGCATATTTCGAGCCATGTGTGACATCGCCACCACCAACTTTGTGGATCCCACGAGATAAGTGGGGGTTCAGTAACCATGAGGTTTTGGAGACTGATTCAATAATCAGCATCACGGATGAGGGTGCGCACTTGAACGAGAGGAACAAGATCGTGTGGGATAAATATGACCCTCATCTTCCTTTACGGGAATTGAAGACTCTGTATTGATCTTGGCTATCTGCCATGGAATTTAATGACTTGACGATAGCGATGGATTGGTTTCTTTTTTCTTTTTTCTCTTTCCTTTTTTGTACATAAACGTGATATTGATGAGCAACATGATATTCGATACCGAGGCTGCTAAGCAAATCCCCATCAAAAGCGCTCAAATATATTTATAACACAGTGGATCCATTTCCTTAGCATAACCACCTTGATCATTGAGATATAAATCCCATCAGACAGTCAAGGTGAAGTTGACAGCATTCACAACACCACTATCCCGCGGGAAAAACTCGAAGGTGAACACGGTCGATTGGCCAGCGGAGATGACCGAGTTAATCGCAGATGAAGTGAGGATTACGTGGGAGGCGTCCCAGTTATACTGGTTAGCGTAGGTCTAGATTGATATGTTAGGATTTGGCAAATGTCAAAAGAGGAATGGGGCTCATCTTACAGCTCTCGCTTGCTGAATAGGACCCAGGTATTGTGTCCAGTCATCGACCAGGTATGTTCCGCTCTTGGTCAAAGCCTTTACTGCAGCGATAGTTGGCAGTCCACCCCAGGTGATTGGAATTAACAGGTCAGAGCCCGAGACAGACGAGGCCACTGCCGATGTGGATGACAGAGTGGGAGTCTTCCATTGAACAATCTGGATAACAGGCGACGAGTATCCTCCCGAGAAATTCAGGGTTAGAGTAGCAACGACACCTGGTGCTGTGGTCGATGAAAGATGCTTGGATAAGTACGAAGCTGCGAAGACGATGTTCGTACCCGAGACAGAATAGTCTGTCCCCGACGCCAATTTCGTACCAGTAGAGTCACTGATTGATGAGAGCGTGTTACCGTTGAAGATGAAGGGAAGAGTCTGCGCTGTCACAGTTGTTCCATACTGATGG